TCATAGGAAAGTTGACTTAAATCCAGACGTATCAGGATACATTATATACCTGATCTAAACATACCAATTAAAAGTCAGAGATTGTCAGAATGTCATAATGGGTTTTAAAAATAGTCCTAACTATGTGCTACCCACAAGAAACATTTTGAATATAATGATATAGGTAGTTAAAAGCAAAAGGATGGAGAAAGATATACCATGCAAAGACTAATCAAGAGAAAGCCAGAGTGGCTGTGTTAGTATCAGACAAAGTAGACTTCAGAGCAAAGAAAATTACCAGGGACAAAGAGGGACATTAGATATTGATAAAAGGGTTGATTCATTATAAGGACATAACCATTCTAAATGTGCATACATCTAACAACAGAGCTTCAAAATACATGAAGCAGAAACTAAAAGGGGTAATAGACAAATGCACAATTCTAGTTTAAGACTTCAACACTCCTCCTCAGTGTTTCATAGATCTGGTAGACAGAAAATCAGCCAGGATATAGAAAAAATTGAACAACATCATTAACCAACTGAATTTAGTTGACCTTTATAGAACACTCCATCCAATAACAGCAGAATACACAGTCTTTCCAAGGGCACATGTAACATTCACCAACAAAACAATGTTATCTGGCCATAATGGAATAAGAAATGCATAACTGAAGGATAACAAGAAAATCTCCAAAACTTGGAAATTAAAGAGCACATATCTAAATAGTTCATAGATTAAAGAGGAAGTCTCAGGGAAATTAGAAAATATTTTGAACTGAATGAGAATATAATATGCCCAAATTTGTGTGATGCAGCTAAAGCAATGCCAGAGGGAATTTTATAGCATTAAATGCTTATTTTAGAAAAGAAGAAAGGTCTTCTTTCTTCTAAGCTTCTATCCTAAGAACTTAGAAAAGGAAGAACAAAATAAATTAAAATCAAGCAGAAGGAAAGAAATAATAAAGATGAGAGCAGAATTCAATAAAAATGAAAACAGAAAAATAAGAAAAATGAAACCCAATGCCCATTCTTTGGAAAGATCAATAAAATTGATAAACCTTTAGCAAGATTGACAAAGAAAAGGACAGAAGACACAACTGCCAGCGTCAGGATCAAAAGAAGAGATATCACTACAGACCCAGTAGACATTAAAAGGATAGTAATAAGAGAATACTGTGAACAACTCTGTGCACATAAATTCAGCAGCTTAGATAAAATGGACCACTTCTTTGAACACCACAAACTACAAAAACTCACTGAAGATGAAATAGATGGCAGGTGAATAGTCTTAATAACTGTTAGGTTGAATTTCTAGTTAAAAACCTTTCAAAGAAGAAATCTTCAGACCCAGATGACTCACTACTGAATTCCTCCAAACATGTAAAAGAAATACCACCAATTTACACAATCTCTTCCAGAGAATGGAAGAGAAGGGAACACTTCTCAACTTATTGTATATAGCCAGCATTACTCTGATAACCAAAACGAGACAAAGACAGTGTAAAAAGAAAAAACTACAGACCGGTGTCTGTGAACATCAATGCAAATATCCTCAACAAAACATTAGCAAATTGAATTCAGCAATATATAAAAAAGAATATGCTATGACCATGTTGGGGCTTGTTCCCAGAATGCAAAGCTGGTTCAGTATTTGAAATAAATCAGTGTAATCCACCATACTGACAGTCTAAAGAGAAAAGTCACGTAATTGTATCAATAGATAACAAAAACTCACACACGTTTGGCAAAACACAATATCCACTCATAAAAACTCTTGGCAAACTAGAAGGGAAATTCTTCAACCTGTTAAAGGGCACCTATAAAATTCCTATAGCTACCATCATACTGGTGGAGACTGAATGCCTTCTCTCCAGGATTAGGGACAAGGTAAGATGTCCACTCTCAGCACTCGTATTCAACATTGTTCTGGAAGTCTTAGCCAGTGCAGATTAGGGAGAAAAAGAAAGAAAAGACATAGAGATTGGAAAGGAAGAAACAAAACTGTCTCTAGTCACAGATGACATGATTGCCAATGTAGAAAAACCCCAAGAATCTACCCAGGAAACAAACCAACAAAAATCCTATGGCTAATGTGAATTTAGCAAGGTTTTATGATAGAAGCTCAACACATACAAATCAATCTCACTTCTATTAGCAATGTAGAATTGGAAACCAAAATGTAAAAGCTAATACCAGTAGAATAGCTCAAAGAGAAATGAAATACTTAGGTGTAAATCTAGCAAAACCTGTACAGAATCTGTATGCTGAAAACCACAGAACTGCTAAAATGTAATTTATTTGATATATAAACCATTTTATTTAGTTGTCATCAAGATTTCTCTGCCTATACTCAAATTACCTTTGAGGACAGATTCCAAAATGGGAAATCATATTTTCATGCATTTACCTTCATCATGAAATAGATGTACTTATATATATAATCTTTTTATATATATTCAACATATTTCAAATCTTCAACATATTTATCTAATTTTAAGAACATTAAGACAATTTCAGGTTTTGATTCTTTTTCTAACGTAAAGGATCGATCATATTCATAATGTGATTTGAAATTGCATTTCATATTTTATCACACATGCATCTTCTCAGTAGCTGCTTGCAGCTGTTAGAAATAAGTTACAGAGTACTTCCACAAGTCCTGCTATGCATGTAACTCTGGGGTTGGTTTTTTTTTTTTTTTTTGAATTTCAGTTTAGAAGATACAAATGATAAACATTTTCTAAAAAGTTTAATTGAATATTGTCTCCTTTTATATCAGTCTTCTATTGCTTTCTGATTTTTAGTTTTCCTCACTTAAGCTTTGTGGTTCATGTATCTGTTCATTGCGAAAAGGTGTTTGTTTATACTGCCGGTGTATGTATGTTCAGTATTTAATGAAAAACGGCTTATAAAGTTAGTGCCTGAAATTCATGAGTATATGTAGTGTTCTGTATCACCAAGGGATTTGCTTATTATAAGCTGTTCTTTCTGAGGCCATAGCAGACATTAGTTTTGTACTTTAGTGTTCATACATAAAGACTTTAGAAGGTAATCCCCTACAGATTGTGACTGGGCTAAACACTCGGGACGGCAATAAAAAGATCCACTTCATTTTGCTTGTAAGAGCTAATCGTCTTCCTAACAAACCTTGATAAAAAAAAGACACACTGCCCCAGCTGTTGTGGTCAATCCTTCAGGGATTGCCTAGCCATGGAGAACATAAAGCCGTTTAGAAAGGTTGATTCTACTCAATATGGTAATTTGATGACCTTAGACAAAGAAATTTCAAATGCGCTGATTAAATTCACAGTTGACACTAAATTAGTTAGGAAGGTTAATATTCTAGAAAACCAGACTCAAATTCAGAATGATCTTGAGCAGTGGAAAAAATTGCCTTTAAAGCAGAGTAAAATTAAAAATGAATTTAGATACTAAGAGACAGAATAATAAAAGTATGAGAAAAGGAATTAACTAGATGGAAGTATGATCTCTTACCCTCCTCATCCAGCAGCTAAAACTTTGGAAATGCAGAAACGACTTGGACACTCATCGGTTAGTAGTGAGAGAATTGCTCCCCTCCCACCCTTTTTTCCTTTCTGCACAAGGGCAGCCTGTCCAGACCCATTCCCTTCTCTGGTTTATGTCCCAGTGGTTCCATTTGTGATACTCGCAGTGCTTTACCCTCACGGTGCTTAGACCCACAATTTCCCCCATTTACTTGACCTGATAGTATCTGCTTGTGCTTATATTCCAAAAAAATCCTGCTGTTACTGTGCCAATTCATCTTTCTCTCTTTGTAGTCTAACCTCCAGTTCCTGATTTCAACTGTTGCTAGCAACAGTGGTAAAAGAAAGATTCCTCAAAATCGTAATAACCGCAAACTGAATATGAATAGCGAACCTGCTATTATTGGAGGGGAAGAGGGCAATAAAAAGAAATCCCATTCTGTCATTTAAGATCTAACATGGAATCTTTATATGTTACATTAAAACAATTATATAACAACAAACCCTTCCTATGTGCCAGGAACAGTTCTAAATGCCATATGTGCTGAACTCTTTTAATTCTCACAGCAATCCTAAGAGGTGGGTACTATGGATAATGAAGCCTCATCTACAGACGAAGTTCCCAAGAGGTTAAGTCAATGGCTCAGGGTGACGCTGTTGGTAAAAAGCAGCCTGAAGTCTAACCCAGACAGTCTGGCTGAAGACCGAGGCTGCACACCTAACTGTTACTACTCCATACTGCCATGCCACTAGAACTGAGGCCAGATAGTGGTCACAGCAGTCAGGCAGGGAAAACTGAAGAGAACTTAGGGAACAAGAAAAAATCTTGAAATGGCTGGCAAATAGATCTTGTCGGCAGGGTTAAAGGAATTCAGGGTGTGCCATTTAGGGAGGAGAACATATAAGGAATAAGTTAATTGGGTTTCAAACATAAAAAGGATTTTTTGAAGAAAGTAGTGAATGTTCTGTCAATTGAAGACTGTCTAAAAGACGTGTAGTGAGTCCAATCAGGAGTACTTATGTTGGGCAAGAGGATTCATTTTTTGCTATCCAGTCTAAGAAATCGGCAGGTTGTGAAGGATCAGACCCAAGAGATAAGTCTACAATGGATGACTCTGTCACGATGGCTGTGATTCAATTGATCATGACTATAATTTTCCCCTTTAATTTTGCTCAGATATACTTCTTCATCCTTAGTCTCATGTTACCTAAAATGTCAATAAAATTTTAGAACAGAAGACAGGTAGTTCAGCTCCGTATTTTACAGACAAGAAAACAGAATCAGAAATTATATGTGTGTTGTCATAGGACTACCTACCAGTGGCCAGAACTGAGTGTTGAACCCAGTTCTCCTGACACCATGTCCAGAGCTCAGGCTGCTTTTTGGGGGGTTTTCATAGTCACGGAGGAGAATTTTGAGAATTTCTACTTAGCACAGTGAGATTGCTGTGTACGTAAGGGCGGCGGGTGTAAGTTTCACTGATTTATGAGCTGTTGTTTTTCTTTGTGTAGTATGAACCCAGAGGACCTGGTCGGCCCTTGTACCAAAGAAGAATCTCATCTAGCTCAGTCCAGCCTTGTTCTGAAGAAGTAAGCACTCCTCAAGACAGTCTTGCTCAGTGTAAAGAGCTTCAGGACCATAATAACCAATCTTCTTTCAACTTTTCATCCCCGGAGTCCTGGGTCAACACCACCTCATCTGCCCCCTATCAGAACATTCCGTGCAATGGATCCAGCAGGACAGCTCAGCCCAGAGAGTTGATAGGTAAGACGGAGTTGGTGGGCTGCTAAAACTGCAATTGTAACTACTCAGCTCCTGGATATTTATGGAATTTTTCTTCTCCTGTGTCCTCCATTTGCATTATTATCTTTGAAAAATATTTAATGCTCATAGGTCACAGGTGTGCCTCGGGCATACATATTAATTTAGGACTATATTGATTCCATATTTATTGTCTGGAGGGTAAGTAGATCTATCCATATTTAGGAACTAATAATTTTGATCATTTTGACCTGTGAATGAGTGAGACAAGTAATGGAACTTAAAACGTATTTCTAAATAGAATCAGCTTTGCTTGGGAAATATTTGTTTTCTGATTTTTTGTTTGTTTGTTTGTTTTCCAGGATTGGGGGTGGGTGTTGGTTAGTCAATATCAATTGTCAAGGATTATTGTCAATAAAGTTGTTTACAGTTTGCTATACAATAGTTTGGTCATGAGAGAAATCAGTAAAGTCTAACATTTTGAGATTTAGAAATCCTGTGTTTATTCCTTGTATTCTAATGAACTGAGAAATCCTAAGCTAAAGAGAAAAAAAGGCATAGAAAGACATTGGACTGGACAGAGCTCTGAACTTGTATGGTGAAGTCCAGAGTCTTCCTCTTTAGCCTTGAACCGGAATGCGCTTTTCTCTTTCCCTTTTTCCCTTTTTTATGTTGAACATAAAGAAATGTTACATGTAAAGAATGATGCTATTTGAGTTCTCTAATCTATAGCCTTCCCTTTGTAGGCTGTAAATGTTGATGTTTGTGAATAAGTCTGTGATGTTCGGTGAATTTCTGCCCTGGTAGCATCAACCTTTGTACTTGAAATTAATTTTGTTCATCTTTAGAATGTGAATCCATTGTTTCTGTAACTGATCCATTTTTGAGTATGTGCCATACAAATCATATTTTTAGAACAATGGACATGGTAGGGAAAAAAACATTAATAAGATTTTGGTTTTGTTTCCTGGCAAGAAACTTTGCCATTTTAATCTTTAAACATTCATTTGTTCCTATTATGTATAAGCTGTTGTATTATATATAACCTGCCTGGGGTTGCTTTTTAATTTTAAAGGGCTGACATAAATAGACATATTATCATACTTGAATTTCCTGAGAAACATCTAAATTACAAATCAGTGACCAAAATTTGTTACTTTTTAGTTGTTTTGCTTATTATAATTTATTTTAAAGACAACATCATTTCTCCTTTTTTCCACCTAAATTTTAGGATAGCTTTTGGTCAAAATCAATAAAAATCTGACCTGAGCTGATAAGGGAGAAAGTTCCTGAACAAAATGCCCAAAGTGCATATCATTTATGGTATCTTTTCCACAAATATAAAATTATTTCTTCATTGCTAGGAGACAAATTGTAGTATTCTTTAGTTGAAAGGAAAACTTAGTTAAGTAAATTCAAAATCACTGATATCCTGAAGGACAACTTATTGTCTATCAGTGTTTATGTGTTTGTTTCTTTTTAGAGGAAGATAGGAGTTGTCAGTGGTGAGTCAGAAGGAACATAATCACCACATGGGAAACTTCTTTCCAGAGTTTGAGTTACTTTTTGAGTTGAAGAAAACTGTTTATAGTGCATTGGTTTGGAATTTAAAGGAGGTCATTGTGTCTGGTATGGCCATGTTTTTTCCACGGTTGTAAGCTTGAGAGCAGAGACCCTGTGTTTGACCTTTCTGAACTCTGGGTTTCCCGTCCCTGGGCACTGATCACACTCCAGCTCTTGGTAAATGCTGCTGAGTAAGGAGAGAATGAAAATGGGTCCTGCGCGACTGAGGGGCGACCCAGCTGCACTGCTGGGCCTTACGTGCATTGGTGTCCATGGTGCGGGTGGGCTCACCTCTCCAACATGGATGGGTTTGGATTCTTTTCACTTATCTTAGTGACAAGACAGACTTTATCAGGCATTTTCTTTCAATGCATGGATGAAAATTGAAGATTAGATAGAGATATGTATTTTGGAAAAAATCATTCATTGTCAGGTTAGTAAAATTCATAGTTTTAAAGAAGAGTTTGTCTTACCTGGAATATATCTGGTCAATCAAATTAATAGAGATCTTACATTCATGGTTAGATAAGAGTATAGACATTAGGTTAAACTGCCTCTAAAATATTATTTTATAAGTATTACTTAATTGAAAACATTTAAACTCTAATTATGTTGCCATGAAAATGAGAACATGATTAAATAATAAATCTTAGTAAAGTAAATAAAGATAGTAAGTTCTTAAAGAGCCAGTAAAATGTTTATTTTGTGAATTATATCAGGCAGTATAGGCCACTTTTATATTGAAATGGTTGTTAAACTAATGCTCTGAAAAGCAATTGTTTCATTCACAAAATGATGACATTTAGACAGAAAAGTGATAAATATTCTAAAAAGATATTGTTTTAAAGTAATTTTGAGCAATTTTGTGAATTTTTAAAGTTTTAAAATAGTACTATGAATTTAGTATATTGGGTCAATGAAACACTAAGTCTAAAAAGTGAAATATTTTCACCTTAACCTCCCAATCTACAAATAGGTAATAAACATAGGAAAAAATGTCCATAAACAACAGCAATTAAAAACATGCAAATCAGAACTATAAGATAACTGTTCATTTATAAAATAGGCTGAGGTTAAAAAGAGCAATAATACCAGTATTGTGATCAAGTACGGAGATGGGTAAACCTTGTTGGTTGAGTATAAATGGGCAGGATCTTCCCGCAGGGAAGTTTGGCTGTAGTTATCAAAAGCATTCACTGTGTGCGTACCATATGACCCAGCCGTTTTACTTCTAGGCATTCATCCTGAGGCAATAGTCATGAACATTTAGAAACACGTATCTCAAATAGCACCATAGTGTATAAAAGTGGAAAATTGGCTATAATCCAAATTTCTAAAAATGAGAAATAATAACTTACAGAAGTTATGAAATATCACATTATATGATGTCCTTAGGAAGAAATACACCAACAGGTTAAGGCTTATCTCTGGTATTTGAGAATAGAATGAGTTATTTTCTTCTTTGGCCTTCTGTGTAATTTCCAAGTTATCCTCAATGAATATGTATTATGACTATGATCTAATATAATGTTAGTTAAATTTTTAAAAGATTGAAAACAAAAGCAATGTTTGAAAATAAGTTCTGGTTTATTGGGCAATAAAATTAGGAAGAATAGAGTCAAATTTTAAAGGACCTGGAAATTCAGGCAGATTATAGGAAATGTGAAGTAAATTTTATAGCTGTTTTGCCCCCACATTATTCCATGTTTACTTAGAATATGTATTACAAGGAAAGGTAGCATTTTTAAGATAGAATCCAATGCCACTGTTACTTAGGTCAATTAGTAAAAGCTTTTTGACCAGAAGTATGTATATGCAGCTCATTTTTATTTAAGAAAGAACCTCTTTGTTCCCATTTTCAAACTATGAGCAGTTAATACAATAAATATCAAAGTGTACAATTGTACAAATTAGTATTTTGAAGCAAACCTTCAGACCTGACCTTTAGTTTTTATATGTTAGCTATTCCAGTTCACATATTTAATTCTTTTTGGAGTGTTTCTAAGATAGAGAAGATTGCTTAGTTGTGTTGTGATTTCAGCGTTCTGTGGCGGAAGCTGTCTGTCCTCGTGGCTGTACTGTCACTGAGTTCCTGGAGATGAGAGCAGTTGTGACACGCTGAGTTAATGAGATGCATGAGTGTCACGGGCTTGCTCTTAAGTCAGTGTTACTCTTCTCTGCTTTTAGCTCCGCCGAAGACTGTCAGACCTCCTGAGGATGAGCTGAAGTCCGAAAACCTCGAGGTGTCCAGTCCCTTCAACTACAGCGTGCTGCAGCATCTTGGCCAGTTTCCCCCCCTCATGCCCAACAAGCAGATCGCGGAGTCGGCCCACAGCAGCAGCCAGCAGAGCTCTGGGGGCAGCAAGCCCGCCATGTCCTATGCCAGCGCTCTGCGGGCCCCTCCCAAGCCCAGGCCCCCGCCTGAGCAGGCCAAGAAGAGTAGCGACCCTCTGTCTCTGTTCCAGGAACTCAGCCTGGGGAGCTCATCGGGCAGCAATGGCTTTTACTCCTATTTTAAATAATCACTTTTTTCCCCTCAAGGGAGAATGTTTTAATTTCTGTTTGTATCAATAGAATTAAGATAGTTGGACTTCATCTATAGATGCACAGTTCCCTTTGTTTTAATATTACATATGTTCTCACTTAATTGCTTTGCTGCTAGACTTGCAACTAATTTTTTAAAAGTATATTCCATTATTTTGCATTTTTGATGTGAGTCAGAATTTTGACAGCTTTTATGTAGAATAAAAACTATTTTTAAATTTGTGTATTGTTACATATGTTTGCATCAAGCTAGCAGCTAAGAGGTTAATTGTGCAACTATAAAAAAAGAGAAAAAAAAGTTTGTCTAAAAATGTATTTAAAAAGAAAAAAAATTGTAAGTAGCATTTACATTTATTCAATAATATTACCATATGCTGGGTTTCTGTACCAGAAATGGCCAGTTGATGTACAAATGTATGTTATTTTTGCTTAAATTCCTTTAAAATTTTTTAAAATAAAGGGGCAGCATCTTCTAAATACTTTAAGTTTTATCAGCTTTTTTTTGTGACAAGATGCTGCATTCTAAAACTTTTATAGTTTTAGACTATGTATGATGTGCTGTTGTAATCTCCATCCACTGTAGGATAGAGTTAAAGGCATTCTTTGCAGGTGTATTTCGTATGCCACTGTTTTTTGTAACATGAAAAAACATTGGCATACTTAGTTATTTTTTGGACAAGCTATACTTCAAGCTTGTTTTTAATGTTAATTTGATAGTGTGTTTTTTTTTTTAAACAAATCATGAAGCTGAAAAATTTTTAGGATTGTTGGTGCTTAGTAGACTTGATAACTATTTTAAAAATGCGTGAATTTGGTAAAATCCTTTTTTTCTCACTATGCATGTGTAAATGTTTGTAATCTGGCTTTCCCTCCCTCTCCAGTGGTATAAAGAATTGTGCCGCTTTAAGGTTTTTTTTCCCTCCAGTAAAGATTTTGGTACCTTATTTGATGTTTCCATAAAAATGTGACATTACACATGACAATTCAAATATTTTGCTAACTGTTTGGTTTGAGGAACATCATTAAAGAAGCAATCGAATGTTTGTCAAAGATGTATCAAAATTCATCAAAATCTGGGGCAAAAAACTACCCTTGTTTTTCATGTCTTTCGATTCTTCTAAAATAACCCCACTGAACTTGTACAAAAATATAAAATTTAAATAGCTCTCTTATATTCTACGGTCTAAAACTTGTTTTGAATGAACTTTGGTACAATCCAAAGGAAAACATTTACCCTGTTAAAACTTGTGGTCTCGTAACGCTTTGGAAGCGATGCATGTCCTTACTGTTTTCCTGGCCTAGTAGTACTACTTTTATACTTCAGAGCTCTCTTGAAACGACAATATAACCTTTTTCTTTTAATAAGATGAGGTTGGGAAACATTGCAGATGAACCAGTGGATCCTCATGGTCCATTTAACAATAGTTTTTTGGAGGCCTCCTTTTGAAGAGGCCCTCCTGTATTCACAGTACATTTTTAAAACGGGGTTGAAAAGTGGCAAGTGTAAAAAAAACTACGTACATCTCTTATATGACTGGAGTTAGTTGGTGTTGGCCAGCTGCAGCCCCCTCTCATCCTCGGACAGTGTAGGAGCAGAGTGCCTTTAGGTAAAGGTTATCAAGCCGCAGGACGAATGAAGGGTGCCTCTGGCTCAGTTCTGTCTCCCCGCGCAGAGGGCGGTTCATTTGTATGTGGCTTCATGTTCCAGGCTGCGGGTCTCCGGGTGAGGTGGCACATGTCGCCCTTAGACTGCAGACATGTTAACGGTTAGCATAAGTCACAGCTGGAAAACGGAGCCAGCAAGTTACAGCACCACGTTTTCTCTGTATGATGTCAGATCACTGCATTTAGCTATGCCCAGTTTTACTCAACATACTTTAGTTATAAGAAAAATTTTTGCCGTATAGCTATGTATTTCCAACTCTGTGACAAAACTCAAGACATAGCCCAAATGAAAATTAGATCTCCCCGATGTGAGGATGTCTATGAAAAATAATTTTCTCATCACTGATGAGTCTCCTCCCCCAAAATAGACAGGACTAGAACACGAGCCAGGTGCATGCTCAAAAGCATGCTGATAATATGAAGACAGAGCTGTCACGCCAGGGCTTGCAGTTAACCCTTGTCGTGAAGTAATTGCCTAGTTTTCTATTTTCCATACTTGAACCTTTAAAATATATCAGTTTTTAAATTATTTATATTTATATTTAAAGAGGTCATGTACACACCCCCACCACCTTATATAAATATTGATGATGGAAGCTTTGGATAAAGAAGCTGTTAAGTTGATGAGGCATCCCTGTTCTAAGCAGTTATTTTTAAAAAACTAAAAATAACGGCGACTTAAGTCCACTGCTCTGCTATAAGCTTCTGAGTGTTCGTTTCCTCATTGTTTCTACAGCCAGACAAGGCTTTGAATGTTGTTTCCGTCTGATACTCTTAGATTCTGCTTTGAATGCATATTTCAAATTCTAACAAGCTTATTCTTTCTCAGCATTGCTTAATGCCATCTTTCCAACCGGGCTTTAAATCTGTTATTTATGCGTAATGTCTCGTAATGGTGTTGAGCAAGTCTTACTGCAGGAATCATTACAAGTTTCTGTTGAAATGAGGCGTGGCTTCTGAGTACCTTTCATGCTGTTTGGATATTACTTGGGTAGTATTAGTAAGTACCCACATATCAGACTGATAACTTATTTTGTATACTAAGTTCAACCTTAGAATTCAGATGGAACTCTTTTTTTTTTTTTTTTTTTTTTAAGAAAACTTGATGTTAGCTCTTGGATAATACCAAGTATTACCAACTTACTTTTCTTCCAGAACAGATTTCTTCTTAGTGAGGTTAATTGTACTCATGATGTCTTTCTACTTCTTTGTTCTGTATATCACTCTGAAGTTTCCTTCTTCTTGCCAGAACTATTTTTTATTCATTTCACTTTTTAATTTCAGTGCTATTGAGATTTTCTTTTTTTACCTTAAAGAAATTCTTTTGGGTGATAGAATTTGTAGTCATGCTAAATTTTTTTTCCTGATCTAAAAATGAATTTTTGTTAAGATTTGAAGAGCCTCAGTCAGTGTAACATGGATATTTTCTAGTGCGTTTGTAAAAGAGGTTTTGGTTGCCATTTGGGCATCTGCTTTGCCAAATCGTTACAGCAGAGCTTTGTTTTTGATTAATCAGTAGTTAATTATTGACCATTTAAACTAACATGACCTTAATTTTCCTTTCCTCAGACAGGTATGCTTCTAGCCAAGTCATTTTGTATATATGAAATAACAAACTGCTTTGTGTGGTTTTTTTCATCAGAAATTCTAGAATAAGTTCAAGTTCGATGTAAACACCAATTGGTCTTCTCAGTTCAGAGACTCGCAGAATAAGTAAAATAAGGAGAATTCCCACTGAATAAGCTTTACCTAATAAAACATAGCAATCTCCAAGACCCATAGTCTCCTTGCTTATGGAGGTATTGAAATTGCTGAGAAAGCTAACTGAATCTCTTAACTTTGAGATAATTAATATATAGTATTATCTTGCTCTAGTGTAGTTGATTTCACCTGTTTAATATTTTCCGTGTAGATTCATCTCAAGAGCAATGCTGTAAACATAGAAGAATGTATCTCTAGCTGCCTTGGCTAGAGAGAGCCACCTTGCCTAAGAGCCAGGGTGTGAAAAAATTTCAAGATAAATTTTACTTTTCAACTGTTGTTAAGAAAATTAGATTTACTGAAATAGTCGTTTTAAAAGAGACACCTGTTAAACTTAGATAGCTTTGTTTCATATTGGAGTTGTTTTTTAAAAGGGAATACCAGAAAAAACAATCTATAAAAATACAAGATTTAAACTTTAAATATATTGAAAGATACAAAATGCTGCCTTAAAATGTTATTTAGGCTACCATCCATTTTTTTCTTCTGGCTCCACAAAGGTAGTAATTGTCTTTTATGACTTACCGGACATTGTTTCTTGCTAACCATCTCCTTGGTATATGGAAACCCTCAGTTTCTACCACCACCCTGTGTCTTCCTAAATCTTGAAGTAAATGTTTTGATGCATCTGATTTTTCTCCCCTCTTTGCCATCTGATCCACAAACTACTTGGCAATTAGAAATAATAGAGAATGTTCTAACTATGATTTCTTGTTCCAAATATCACTTAGTGATGTCCATCAAATTATATTATAAAGGTATCATGAAAGAGTGAGTGGCACGTTAGTCTTCAAAGTGCTCATTATCTTAGGCTTCCCGCATTTTCCATCTACTTGGGGTTGGATGTTTGTTTGCTGAGATTTTACTGTAAAGCTGCTGAATTCACACTTAGTGCTCTCACACCTGTTTAATTAGCAATTTCAAGACCATTGTTACAAGGAGTGAGTCTCACTAACATTTAACATTCTTACAAAACACATTCAGAAAATGGCATGGTTATTACTTTAAACTAGAATGTCAGATTAAACAGATTAAAAATTAAAACTTTTTAATGTAACATTTAAAATTTTTGAAATGATTGAAAATATCTACTTTGGAATAAACTTTAAGGAAACAGTCACAGGAGTTTCTAAATTTTTTTGAAGGGAGGTACCTAATAGAAGAATCTAGACTTTGTAACGTGAACTGTGGTTAAATCCTGAACCCAGTTGTACAGTAGTGGTCTAAGCTTCTAAAACTGGAGTGTTAAGAAAACCCAGAGACATTCATATACCTATAGTTTCAGTAATCAGAGTATTAGACCAGACTTTATTTGCAATTTGTTCAACAGAGAGATTTTATTTTGATACAAATATTAAGCATAAAGCATAGTAGGTTTTATATAATTCTATGAGTTCATTAAACAATATTATGGAATTTTCATTATGTTCTTGGGGAGTCTTTTTAGCTATTTCTGCACCTCATATATGAGGTCTCTTCTGTATTTTATTTTGCATACTAGCATGTGACTGCCTGCCTTAGAACTATGTATAGGAGGGGAAACTGATAGTACTTTTTAAAAAATATTTGATTTTTTTTAAATAAAAGTTTTCATTCTTTTTTTGATGTTTGCGCAGTAAAGGGGAAAGGGTGGCAAATTACATAGGTTTCAACACAGAGTAGAAGTCACACAATAGTATCTGTTTACAAATCTGTCCTCTTTTAAGATCTCTGAATTTTGAGCAGAATGGGACAGTGGTTCTCAGACTTTAGTCAGCACCAGAATTATCTCCACCCCCAGAGGTTCTGATTCCAGGCTGGAGCCTGATCATTTGCATTTTTCCAACAAGTTCCCAGGCGATGCCAATGCTGGGAACCACTTGAGAGCCACTGGTCAAGAGAAAGTCTGACTGTCTTTTCAACTAGGCATATATTTACTTAGTGTAAAAAACTGATCTCTTGAAACATTCTTACAATTCTGTTGCCATGAGTGGGACATTCATGGGCAAAGATCTCTCTGGAGTGACAAGCCCTTTGGGTGGCTGCCGCCCCCTCCCATTGCCCACCCCTCTAAGTTTGTGCTGCTTTTCCACACCAGGGCGCAAGAGCTCTTTCATTTCTAGGGTGAGTTTGGTTCTGTGTACACTGCAGCCTAGGCTGTGGTCTGTGAGCTGTGTGTTTGTTTGGTGTGCTCAGAGTCGATCTTGATGATCTGTACCCACGGAGACGAGAATTGTGGAAGGAAGCCATCAGAATGTCACGAGAATGCACCTTGCATTTATCGTGGCGCTAGTACAGGAGGCCCTGTCCTAAGAGGGCAGTGATGTGGAGCATCGAAAACAATAGATAATCCCCAAAGATGACGTTCATAGGTTTTATGTTTTGGGGGGTGATGGGGGGCGGGGCGGTGAGGGCAAAGGATTTGGTTTTCAAATTATGTGTTTCTCAGGTTAAGCAAGTTATTTTGGATTCTCTGCCTTGCCAGCAGGTGTTAGGGGAGCCTGAAGAGTTGTATATGGCAGAAAATTGATAATTGTCTCTGATTACTTTGCTACCTTTAAAAAAAATCTATATGTGTTTGCAAAACAGTCTAGGGGAATCTGCCACCTACACAGCATGAGTTATTCATAAACCATAGGTGCACATGTATGAGCAAGTTATTTTTAAGAGAGAGACTGCCTATAATATAATAAACCTGACAGGTCTTTGGATATTTTAAAACGTGTGTTCTTGTCGTCATCGTCATATTCCCCCTGGACTGCTGCTCGAGGGGGACCGCGCTCTGCCTCTGGTTTTTAGTTTGGCTTTGAATTTACTGAGCTACTAGAAAGAGAAAAAATATTTTTAAGGTAATAGATTATAGGACGACTTAGATGTAGAAGTACATGAGAAGCATCCTAGAATGCACAGCTCTGGAATTCTTCAAACAGCACTTCCTCCTTGAAAGCTTGATAACCTTGGTGGGGATTGTCCATTTGTTCAGCACGGGTTACTGTATCCACTTCCCGCTCATAGGAAGCTTCACTTCATGTGCGTTTTGCCTTGCACGATGCCTTGTACGTGAAGACCTCGTTCTATCTTTCGGTCGGTCAGCGGGCTCTTCTGTCCAGGTTGAAGTCCCAACGCGTCAGTTACACCTGAGAATGTTTCTCAGCCCCCCTCCCATACAGAGGAAGGGTCTTGGATTTTCATATATCCAGACCATGCCTGCTTCCTATGAATCCACGTATGTGACATTGTACTGTATCCGCTTTCTGTGCCAGTCATCTGACCTGATTCTTTGAAACCCACGAAGGTACTGGTTATATGTAGTAGTTGTATTCTAGGTAAATATTGTGATTAAAATACCTCTCCTCTAAATTATAAAGGTAATGGGTTTTGCATTTTATTAAAGGGTCCTGTTATTAGTGACACAGGTTTTTTTGAATGCTTCAAAAATACTTACCTAAACTTGTTCAGCTAACTTCATATCATCAATTACTTAGCAAATTCCTACTGGGTCTTATTTTGGCAAGCCTTCCCAAGGGAGGCTGTATCCAAACCGAGGTGGCTACTTTCCATCTCCTAAAAGTACCAGTGGTGCAGCCATCTCATAATCATAATTTATGGCAAAAAAATAACAAAATTATTTTTTCTTTGCAGTTAATGGTACCTCACCTCAGAGGTTCTGATACCTGAAGAGTTTATCCATAAAGTAAAAATGACTTCCTACCATAAAATAACCCCAAAGCCACTCTCTAGGGTTTTGTTTTCTAGCTTTTTTGTCAATTTCTTTTATTTTTTAACTTAGTTTTGGAATTACTTTAGCCACTTTGGTTCTTTAGAACAAGTTTTCAATTTTGGGGTCTACAGTTCCTACATTGTGATCATTGTCTCAGTGAAGTTCTTTTGTTTTAAAAGATTCATGGTAACACAAAATGTATTTTACTGCTACAACTAAAATGTATTTATAATAAAATGCCTTTTTAATAATTTGGAGATTTGTTTATTATGTGTGAACCACAATTCTCTGCTTCCTTTTACTTTTAAGATCAAAGGTCTGACAGAAGTTAAGCACAGCACTTTGATCTTATTCATAATGTTAACTGGTGAAAGTAGCTGGAGTAACAGAACTCGGTGTTAATTTGTAAAATCGTAACTCTGGTTTCCAGAAATTTGCAACTTCAGTTAAATTTCTGAACTTCAGCAGTAGTGAAGCCCTAAAGGCTTAAAGTGTTACTTAAAGGTTTAAAGATCATCCATGGCCAGTGAGAGAATCAGCGCTTTTCACATTGCCATTTAACATGGATCTTAGGGATTTAAGAAAATTATCCTCAGTTGCTCTTAATAAGTAACTTGTGCCACCCAGAATTTATTTCAGAACTCATAAACCTAGTTTATATCAATATGTTATAAGGGTACAGTAATCCCCTTCACAATGAGGTGGGACAAGCATTCATTCAGCACCCCTCCCCCGCAAACGCTGGCTGTGTGCAGAACTGCCCTTGGTCAGGGTCTTGTGTCTGATGGGGAAAGTGCAGCTGCCGTGGTGCGAGTTTGAGAAGCATTAGCAGGTCACAGGATGCCCTGTGTGCTCTGGCTTTTTTGTTTTTAACATCCTATTAATGTAGCACATAAATCTAATTGAATATACTGTACTTACGGTTTGTAAATAGAAGCAGATATGGGGGCCGGCCCTGTGGCCAAGTGGTTGAGTTTGCGTGCTCCGCTGGGGCGGCCCACGGCTTCACTGGTTCAGATCCTTGGTGCAGACATGGCACTGCTCATCAGGCCATGCTGAGGCGGCGTCCCACATGCCACAACTGGAAGGACCTACAACTAAAATATACAACTATGTACTGGGGGGATTTAGAGAGAAAAAGCAGAAAAAAAATTGGCAACAGTTGTCAGCTCAGGTGCCAATATTTAAAAAAAAACAAAGTAGTACAGGCAGCTTTTCATAAGGACAATTTCTAATTCTTGTTGCAGTCAATCAATTTTTAAGCTAGGTATCTTGCTTTCTTTGAACTGAATTGATATGATACAACATAAATCATCTTTGGATTTTAGAAAGAAAAACACTACATATAAATCATATGGATTTGGAGGACGCCTTGAGCTGTTATCTGCCTCTAGATGAAGTAACCCAAGGCCCCGCTGTCAGAAGGAAAATGCGAATAAGACTCTTAGGTGTTAATTCCTATGCCATAGTGGTGCCCTCTGAAGCATTTTCCTCAGAATGACACCAGTGTGAAAATTAGTTGGGGGGCCAGCCCGGTGGCACAACAGATAAGTTTGCACATTCCGCTTCAGCGGCCCGGGGGTTGCCGGATTGGATCCCGGGTAAGGACATGGCACCGCTTGACAAGCCATGCTGTGGCAGGCGTCCCACCTATACAGTAGAGGAAGATGGGCATGGATGTTAGCTCAGGGCCAGTCTTCTCAGCAAAAAGAGGAGGATTGGCAGCAGATGTTAGCTCAGGGCTAATCTTCCTCAAAAAAAAAAAGTGGGAAAATGTAATTTCATCAAAACTCCAAGGTGGGAACATTACAGAGTGCAGGTCAAGCATGAAAATGGAAAGTTGGCTTAGTGTAGGGAGTGCTAGAATGGAGAACTGTTTGCTCCTAACTTGGTTAAACTGGAACATCCAAAAGCCCCGGTGGTTGGTTTTAAGCAGCCAAAGAGCCCTTGGTCTGAAACGGATACTGCTGCTTGACTTACATAGTATTGTCCTAACGAACCACTTCCCTAATGGATGGGGATCCTTTTCTCAAGATTTGAAGAACCCCATCTTGATTGCACTGCCTCAGTGCCAGTCCATCCTACCAACTGCAGCCGGTTACTTTTCTGAAACGGATCTGATCGTACCACTCTTTCTCTGAGAAGCCCTCAGTGGTTTCCCATCGCATCCTAAATTTCTTGGCTGGACTTCGGAGTCACCCTCCAAGTCTTGTTCCCGAGCACTGCACGCAGCAGACAATCAGAGCCCTCGCCATTCTTTCCCCGGACAGCCCTTGACTTTCTTCCCTCTCTACTTCATTTGGAGCTTGCCCTTCAGCACTCATACCCCAACCCCCAGGTGTGCTTTGGGGAAGTCTACTAAATATTCCAGACTCTAGGTAAATTCCACCTCCCATCCTCCCCAGTTAGAATTCGCTCCCTTTTTCTCTGTGCCTGCAATGAAGGCTTCTCCTGTTCCCACAGTTTTTGTATTAGAGTTAGCAGTCTGTGAGCTTCGCGGGGGCAGAGACCGTGTCCTCAGACCTCTAAAGGTATAGCACCAGCCCTGTGCCTTCTCCAGAGCGGGCCCTCGAACGCCTGCTGAACTGGCTCACGGGGTTTGATTGCGAGAGGAACTTAAAGACACTCTCCCCTCTCCACTGACGTCCTTTGCCAATGCAGTGTGGCCAGAAGACACTTGGCAGGAGTGATGGCCTGGGGTGACGGAGGAGCGAGCTGTCCTGTGCAGTGCTGTTCCCGCCTACTCTCCGAGCAGTGACAAAGCATCAGCATTCAGGGGTATTTTGCGTCTTACCAGGTCTCATTGTTAGAACCCTTCGTTTGACAGCTTCTCCATGGTTACGTCAGTTTTGATGGGTGCAGCCTACTTTAGCATATCCTGCTCTGTAGGCATATCCTGCCATGAAGATTTCTGGGAAGTGATGAAATCCCCCTTTGTCTGAAGCTCTGGTTGATTTTAAATCCACAGAGGGAGGTAATTAAATTGAATAGGAGCTGCAGCTTGCAAAATCTATGGTATTATCCCACTCTTAGCTCATTAAAACTGATGTTCTGCAAATTGATTTGAACCATTGTTTCGGGAAGCTGAGCTGCTAATCCCTGAGAAGAAAGTGGCACTGGTTGGAAGATCGGATGAGCCAGCAAAGGACTCAGGAAGGGAGCATGGCTGGCTGGCCACTTGGCTCACGCTCTGGGCTCCCCGGCAAAGGAAACCAGAGGAGAATGTGGTTTAATGCTGTTTGCTCACTAATTGAATGAAACTGTAATCTGAGGCATCTGACGACAGGCACCCTTGATGTGAGCGTAGCGCCTGAAGTGTCGGAGCCTTGCAGAGGAAACTCGGAAATGTTCTAATTAGTCTTTAAGGTTTTGTGTCCTTTAGGTACAAAAGATACGAGGGAGCTGAAAGGGAAGGGCCTGAAGTTACAAGAGCGGGCGGCTTATCTTTGTGCCTGCTCTGCAAACCCACCTGCCGGCTGGGAATCCGGACGTGTACGTGTGTTTACGAAGCTAAGCAGAAGTGGGCGCTCCAGGCTGAGGTTCTTCTAAGGGAAGGTTTTGAGGATTCGGTCCTCTCAGCTTTGTGACCAGGCTCACAGCAAGTTGCATAACCTGGGACAACAGTACCAGGAAATTACTGGAAGGTGATTAAGCAAATGGGCTCTATGTGAGGAATCAAATCTCCTCCTCAGGGTGACCCCATAGGCCTTCTAGAGCCCAAATAATTCCTCCTGGGCTGGTTCCACTAACAGGGTGGAAGATAAACTGTTTTGAAAACAATTTGTGATCTAGTGTAATTAAAGGTGGTTTTGAGCCTTCTGGCAAAGCACTTCTGGAAATGTCTGTTCTTAAACGCTGTCAGCTGATGTGCTCCAGTTCGGAAAATCACCTCATCCGAGAGAGATGCAGTAGCGTATGCCCTGCTGTAGCGAAGACAGCTGGCTCGGTCTCATTTCTCTGACTCAGGCCAAGCATGGGGACAAGCCATTCTGGCTGCAGACACCTGAGGCCAGGGAACCAGACCGCGAATAAGCTCTTTTGAGCTCCTCTCTGGCACCTAGAGGCCTTCTTACCACGCTTCCCGATTCTTCCTTGAAGCATCTTTGCATGCACTCCTTTCTGCCCGTTTCCTTCCCGGACAGCATTCTAGTTCGTGCACTTGTTCAATGTACCGGCATGTCCTGAGGGCGCTGCATACTATACACTGTGTGGAGGGTCTGGAAAAATGACTGGGGTGGGCAAGGTTCTAGCTGCTAGGAAAATTCTGAAGAAAACACAGCCCTTCCCTTTGAAGAGTCTATAATCCAGCAAGGTGTGCAGGCGCAAGGAGCTGTACGTAATGGGGTAAGTGCTGGGAGTATGAACACAGCATCAAGGGGACAAGATGGAGAGAAACAGGACTTTTGCACCGAGAGGCTGGAGAACACGTCACTTCGTGATGTCTGAGCTGAGCCCTGTGGAATAAGTAGGAGAGGCAGGCCACATGCCCCTCTGTGCTGCCAAGGAACTCGTCCAAATCTCATAGCACTTTTATACTTTATTTTAAAATCATCTGCCACTGAACTCTAAGTTCCTGAAGGCCAACATCATAATTTACTCCTCGTTCCGTCCTAGTTTAGCACAGGGCCTGGCACACGATGTTGATACTCAGTAGGGTAGATAGAGTAACAGTCCCCCAAAGACGTCCACCTCCGGCTCCTCAGAACCTGTGAACGCTTGTCCATGTTCTAACCCCGGGACCTGTTTTTATAGAGTAGAAAGGGCTTTGCCGATGTGGTGGAGTTAAGGATGCTGAGATGCGAGATCATCGTGCATCATTTGGATAGGCCCAGTATGATCACACAGGTCCTTATGAGAGTGAGGCAGGGGGACCGCAGTCAGAGAAGTAGGAGATGTGCTGATAGCAGCAGAGATGGGAGTGGTGCATCCACACACCGAGGGAAGTGGGCAGTCTCGAGAAGCTGGAAAAGCAAGGACATGGATTCTCCCTTGAAGACTCCAGAGGGAACCGTCCCCCCTGACACCTTGATTTTAGCCTCATAAGACTCATTTCAGACTTCTGATCGCCAAAACTGTTGAAGAATAAATTTGTGTTATTTTTAGCCACTAAGTTTCTGTGACTTGTTCCAGCATCAAGAGGAACCAAATATACTCAATAAGCACGGAGTTGCTTAAGTGAAGGGCGTCCTTAGTGTGAGAAACATGAATGGGCTTAGCATGTTTGGAAAACAGCCTTCTCTAGGGTGGCCAG